TATTGTACTTCCAAAACAATTACACTGAGCACATATCCTTATCACTTAAAATTAAGAGTTACTACAAGTTAGTTATTTGAAACGTACATCAATACTCTGAAAAAGGTCACTGAGATAAGGCATCGGGGGCTCAATATTAACCATTCTAAATTTAATGCATGCAGCAGAATACTATGACTGAAAGCAATAATGCACGTACCAGAAATGTAAATCACACAATTATCAAATAACTGTTCAGAAAAGACTATAATCATAATCTATATTATTTCAGATGCCCTTCAATAGCTCATACTCTACATGGATTATAAATGTGTCCCAACTCCATAAGAACATGGTGATCCTTAAAAAACGATGAGACTACCTCTATTCCCTGGTCCTTGTACCAATCTGGTGTCTGTCTTTCTCCACCTGAGCCAACGCAAGTGTGGAAACCCTGAGATAGTAGAGATGGTTATTGCTTACTCAAAGAGTAAACAAAAAATGGAAAAGCAATTAATGAAACATACAAGTCAATATCCATATAAACAATTTGCAGAAAACCTAGAAATAGTACTTTGTCATATAGAAGCTGAAACTCAAGCAACTACCCAACTAGCTAACAGAATTACCGAAAAATAAGATCACAACCAGGTATTTACAGATAATGTGGTTTCAATGTCAAATTTATAACAAAAAACCAATCTCATCGACTTACAATATAAGCAAGAAACATCAAATTTCTACTGAGATTACCGGTAAACGTGCTGGCTTTTTGTCTAAAGGAAAAAGATAAGCTTTTGTCAGAGCTGGACGTTCATATGGTGCATGTGCCTGCATTAATACCGGAAACAAAATGTTCACATTCATTCAATTTAGTCCACAAATTTAACTTAAAACAAATCAGAAACATTAGCTTCGAAGCCGGTGTAAAATGACTAGGAATTGAATAATCATCATTGCACTATTCTAGTGAAACAGTAACGTTAACACTAAATATGTGGCATAAAAGGATGACATAGCAAGCCGTATATATAGTATCAGACTATAAATGGAGGTAAAAACGAAGTACCTATGGTCCATTTGGTGATACTGTTTTGTTGCAGTAGCATCTTACACAATTAGAATATTGGCAAGCCTAACCATATGAACCCAAAGTTTTCAAATTTGGTTTGCGCTGTTTAAGCTTGGTGGTATTCTAAATTGAGCTTGAGCTCAAATGAGCTTTTTTCTAGTTTGACTCAAGTAGCTTGATTTATTTATACACTACATACAGTTTGATTTTTACACATACGAACTCTAGCTCAAAACGTGAATGAAAGCCGTTTCTTCCTCTAGTATCCTATCATAGGTACATGAACCAAATTTGATCGATCAGCTCCCATTTAACTGAGTTTAATTTGAATATCAAGTAGCTAGGCTGGTTGGTCCGAGGACCAACACATTATCCGCTTTTCAAATAATCAAAATTTAATCAACCAAACTTACAAAAATTTAAATAAAAATGAAAAAAAAAAAAGAAGCAAGAAGAAAAAGGTAGAAGCTAAGAACCTCTTTGGAGACAATGCAAAGCTTTCCATTAGCCACTCCGTGCTCGACGAAAGTCCTAGCTGCATATCCAGCTGCATTTCCCCCTCCCACAATCACAAACCTGTTAAGTGAATACAACATTATAAATAATTCAAAATACCTTTTTTCCTTCTTTTTCCTCCAGAAAAAAAATTGATTAAAGGAGATATCGTTAAAGAACCGACTCTCGATTGTCGTTGGCGAAGGAGGAGGAGGTAGAAGCGGCTACGAAGTTTCTTCTTTGGAAGCGTCTGGAAGGATTAAAAGAAGAACAAGAAGCTGAGGAGTGCAATTCCGGACAAAATAGAGAAAGTCCGTGCTTCAACGACGTCGGATTGGAGATAATGGCGGCCATTGGTAGTACCCTACGGACTGCTGCTGCGAAGGATTTCAAGCAATACAAGGATGAAGAACAACAGATTCAGTGATCGGAATACTTACTATATAGTATAGTATAGATAAAAAGAGAGAGGAGAGAAGGTGGCTTTGAGTTGTACCTGAGGACATCACGGGGGATTAATCTAGAAAGTAGTAGTATTTAATTACTGGTAATGACTGTGTTAGTGAGTGAACGTTAATTATTCAAGTGCTGGCTCTAGCAGGCGTTGAAGAGTTAAAGGCAATTGGCTACTTGGAAGAGACGATCAGGATTTGACAGGTGAAGGTTTCGGCTTCCCACGGTTCCGAGGGCAGTTGGGGAATGTCAAAACTCGAACCAGGTCTTACGACGTCGTCTCTAACCTGAATTGCTTCTTCCCTTTTTTTTTTTTTTCGCACCGTGGATGGAACTTGGAAGCACGCAACCCATTATCCCACAATTTTTGTGCCAAACTTCTGGTATTTCTTGTTATTAATTTTTTTTATATGCAGTACGCAACCGATAAATCCGTAAAGAATTGATAAAAATCAGATGGTTCAATTAATTTTCATTAATTTTTTATTTTTTAAAATAAATATTTCAATTTTATTCAAACTTTTTAATGCTACAGTAAATAAAAAAGGATTAATCTTTCCTACACTGACAGTGTATACACTATCAGCTTTGGATGAATGACAATTATGCAAAATTTGAGTTTGAAATTCAACTTTTGTACACATGTTATGAATCCAAAGATGATAGTGTATACACCGTCAGTGTAAAAAAGATTTACTCAATAAAAAATTATTAAACTTTTGAATCAGAATTTAACCTGTAGAACCGATCGAAATCGGACAGGGATGCTTTCTTGAACACCTTACCTTGGCAGGTTAATTGTAAACAAACACACGAGGTTTAAGCCATTTAAAAATAAATAAATTTACATTAGTCAGGTACAGCAAGTGCCTTTATTCATTTCACCATATTGAGCTAAATGCATGGGCTGTGCATGAAAATTACCTATTTGTATGGGCTGTGCTCAAAAAGATCTATTCCACGATTAATTACACGTTGCCCTCTTGGGGTTCATTTTTTATCTACAAAGAGACAGACGGATAGACAGAGTCCTTAACATCGGAACTTAGTAGTTACTACTTACTAGTACATATACTTAAAAAGGGATCGAAGGGGAAGCAGCCATAATTTATGTGGATCCTCGTCCTCTTTCATGTATCATCATGATGAATGGATATCCAATTGGTTCATGTTGTTTTCCTTTGCTTTAATTTGTTCATGCTGTGCCATTCCGCTGCCTGTGGTTAACTTCCAACATATCCAAAACTAGTTATTTTGTCCGGTACTTATGAGCTTCATGGCAACTATTGGCACAAAAGTTAGTTTCTGAAACTAATTTGTATTAGGGGTGAAAACTATCCGAATCGAGATTTGGTTTAACCGAGTTGAGTTTCAATTTAGTTTTATAAAGTTTGAACTCGAACTCGACAAACTTTCAATGTATAGTTTGAGGTCGAACTCGAATTTAAATTTTTTTAAAATAATTATTTTATTTTTAAAAATGAACTAAATAGTAATTTTTCTAAATAAATAATCAAATATTAGAGATATATATGTAATTTTACTATTAAAATAAAAAATAAATAAATATATATATATAATCGAGTCGGCTCGTGAGCTAACAAACTGAATATCTTTAAACTCGAGTTCAAACTTGTGTTCGACTTGATCCATTCGAGTTCGATATTGACCGAATTCGAGTCGAACTCGAACTCGAGCTGCTCATGAGCGATTTGTGAGTTATTTGATTTGTTTGCAGCCGTAATCTACACCAATTGATACAAACATTAATCATTCTCAATTTTCTACGGGTTTTGGAATCAAAACAAATACTGTAGAAGATATTAGATGTACGTGGAATGTCATGCAAACTGTTTCAGAAATGTTTTCCAACCATGCGGATGACAAAAACACATACATACATAGATAGACACACACACTAAGGTTCCGTTTGATAAAACTGAATTCTGAATTCTGAATTCTGAAATCTGAATACTGAAATAATTAATTTGCTGAATTTTAAGTACTGAAAAGAAATATATGAATGTCTGAATTTTAATGTTAAATCTATTTATACTGTTTGATAAACATTTATAACTGAATGCTTAATAAGTTAAATTTGACAAATTTGCCCTTATATCTTTTCATCCAAAAAAGAAATAGAACCTATAATTTAATTAGTTACAAAGGTTAGGTATGAAAATGACAATATTTATTTTTAAATCAAATTAATATAAAAGATGAAATATATTATATGAGGAGTATGGAGAAGATGTAAAAATCATTCAAAAGGGAGAAAAAAGAAATAGAAAATCATTAGATAGAGAATATTAGATTGTTTAATTAGATAAGAATTTTGAACATAATTAACAAACAATGGTAGATTTGGTAGATAAGATTAGGCAATTGAAGTAATTCTATTGATTCTTATCAGAATTAAGCATTTAGTTAGGATTCTTGTGCTGAAAAAAATACACACAAGTTCAGCACTACTTAACAAGTTCACCAAATGGATTTTCATTTATCAAACGCTCAAAACATCTGAATATCTGAAAAAATTCAGATTCAGCACTTTTTTATGTTATCAAACAGACCCTAATAGTTTAGCACATCCCATTTGGCCAAAGCTTCTGTACATTCTGTTTTATGAAGCATTTGTCCAAATGTCATGAACAAGTAACAGTGCGTAAAACAAGGATGCCTCCAATTTAGATCCACCAAGAAGGGGCAGTTAAAGCTCCCTAGAGAATTCAGTTAATGTTAAAATGAAACCCTTTTTTTATTCTTGGTTGAGTGAAAGAATACATGGTGGCACAAGATTCCAAATTGAATGACGACGACTCTACTCGGAGGGTGATTCATTTGGGCTAATTAGTGCCATCAAAAATTGGATAAATTTATGTATGCATTGTGAGTGCAGATATTTTGTTTAGATTGTCAAGTCTGGATAATATCACAGATATACAAAACACAAATTTCAGGGTTGAACAAAGATTACATGCCATCTATTAATACCTGCTAGTACAAGAAATATTCTTGCATTAATAGTATCTAAAAACAATTAATCGGATGATTCACTTCACCACCAAAAGAACCAAAAAGTTGGAGGTGGCAGCAAGAGCATCAAGGCCCCAGTTAGTGCTGAAGAGTCAAATATTGGGATCAATCAGTATGGTACTAGCACTTCAACCAGAATCAGCTAACCTTTTCAAGAAAAAAAAACTAGTATCAAACCTTTTCATGATCAACGGGGAACCAACAAACATTTACATATTCAACTGGGGAAGAACATTTGAATCTACTAAACACGCTCAAATCTCAATTGAAACGTGCCTGCCTACACTCTCAACATGGAACTGGTGTGGACATTTTACCAACTTGATCAATAACATCAAGAACCTCAGCTCTGCTCCTCACAATCCGATGAAACACCTCTCTAACCTGTTGCTGAAGTGGCACCAATCCCTCCTCCATCTTAAGGCAAATGTCCGCCATCTCCGCTACCTGCACCGCCACCTCCTCCACCTTTGCATCCTCCAACGGAAACTGAAAAGAATCAGCAAATTCAACCAGGCTCAGCGCAACCTTCTCCATCCTCTGCATCTCCTCCAACAATCCAGCAGTGCCTTTCTTCTCCTTTTTCTTCCATTCCTCTCCAATTTTCTCCTGAAGCCCAATCAACGGCTGAGCCCAGACCAATTGCCTGGGCACGGGCAAATGGGTGGCCAGCCCAGTCCTCTCCTGACAAGGGACCGCGGCCACCAGAGACCACATCACGAAAACCAAAACCGCACTCATAATATATACCGGAAGCGCCAGCCCAGCTGCCTCCGCCCCACGTGGCGGCACCAGATTAGACGACATGGCTTGGATCTGTTTGGCAGAGGACCAAGACTTAGCCACGGACCAAGACAGCGACCGGAAAGTCCCGGCAGTTTTATCCTTGGGGTTATGACCGTAATTTGCAGCGGCGCCACCACCACCACGGCGACCAAAAGACCAAGCACGCTCCGTGGCTTTGTGACTGCTGCTGTTATTGCTTTCTTTGTCATCAAAGGCCATGGAAGTGAGGAGAGTCGAGAGAGCCCTTTTGGCGCGTCTGACCTGGCCTTCTCCAATGGGACGTTGCTCGAGGGCGGTGACGGCAATCTGAGCGAGGCTTTGCCAGTGACGGAGGAGCTCGATGCCGTGAGTGACGGCGTTGCAGACGTCAAGGGCCTTTATGGCCCTGTCTAAAAGATCAGGGATGAGTTTGTCGAGAGGAGGCTTGCAGAATTGGGAAGGATCACGACCCATGATGAGAACGGCTTTGAACTCCGCCTCGCAACAGAGAAAAACGTCGAGGAGCTTGCGAAACCAGGAGATGGAGAGCATGGGTGGGGGCGGTGGTGGGCCGTGGTCAGCGGATGGAGAATCCACGGAAGTGGAGGATGGCTGGTCAGTGTTAGTATCATTGTTGTTGGCGTGGTTTTTGGGGGTACTGGAGACAGGGGCAGGGGCATGCGCGGGAGGGGGAGCGGGAGCGGGGCAGGGGGTGGGGGTGGGGACGGGGAGGAGGTCGGACAAACGATCAGCTACGTGTTTTTGGAAGAGTTCGAGGTCTTCGAGCTCGAGGTTGGGGTCGGCAACCTGGTTGCGGCGGATGCTGATGCGGTTCAAGAATGAACCCTGGTTGTCGGTGGCCGGCATCTTTTGAATGCTCGATGATGATGCTTACAGGGGCTGTTTTGCCTGTGGAGATTATATTTCAGGTTTTGAATTTTGATATAGGGAGAGAAAATGCAGGGAAATGAAGAAAGGGAAGGACAAGGAGATGGAGGGGTTGGTTTTGGCAGTTAATATTCGGAGAGAGAGATAGCGGAGGGAAGAGAAGTGAAATGAATGGATGGAGAATTGCCTTCTTGTTTTTGTCGGGTATCAGACCATTTCTTCTTCTTCTTTGTCTCGACTTTGGACATTGACTGGGTACATCTTTGTTTTCTTATTTTCTTTCTTCTTTTTTTTTTTTTTTTTGAATTTTCCGAAGTAAGGAAATCAATGAGCGTCCGACAGTCTTGTCATTAATTCGTGAGTATTACAAATGATTTATCTCGTTTCTTATTTGTTGAATTTTAGTGCCACTTCTTGAAGTTAATTACATATAAATAATTTTTTTGACATTGCTTAATGTTCCATATATGCAGCACCACGTGCGAGGAAAATAAAATTCGAAAATTTTGACAAAATGCCTTAACATTTCTTAAATATTATAGCAATGTGTTGGCTGTTGAAGTACATATTTTGACACAATAGGTCGTGTCTTCGAATTATATTATGGGTGTAAAAATTATATTGATTGGTAAATAAGTGACTTATATTCTTTTTTTTTTCTTTTAAAAATTGTCTTATAATCTATAAACATATCATAATTAGTTGTGGTGATTGGGGCCGAAATTATTAAAATCACCCACAAAAAAAATGTATCTCTATTGTTTTCGAATTTAAAAAAAAAAAAAGAAACAGACAGAAATGTACGTGTGTCTATAGGTCTTATTCTATTGCAAACATGAAATCATCATTTAATTTATTTGAAATTTCGTTTCCTTTTCCATAAGTTATTAATAACATTGATCACGACCCGCCTCTGAATTTTGCGCTTTCAATAGGCGAATTTCACTAATATCAAAGGTCACTAAATTTGCCGGGCAGCTAAATGACTTTCAAGTAACTATATAAATCCTACGTAACAAAGACACTCAGGAAAATGGTAAAAATTAGCAGACGATATTTGCAAATTTCAACATTTCATCAGCACAGAAAGTCACAAAAGCCAAGGCGTTGAATGCGTTGTTATTGCCAGATGGACAGTGTTCGCGTAACGACGAATTCAATTGCTTAAAAAAGATCTACACATGCACTAGCCAAAAAAAGATTCTAAAGCGAAAGCCAAACAGGAGATGTCAATTTCTTGTGGTCGGGGATGGAATGTCCATCTACTTTGACTGAGTGAATTGAATGGCCAAGGCCTTCCAATTCCTGTAACATCTCCCGCACGATCCGGACTTGGGAGTTAGCAGTTGGACGACAGGTACTCGACGGTTAAAGCCGTGAACTTATTGTTGCACCATATCATGTCACATGCTTAACCAACAACCCTTTGGGCTATTTTTAAATTTTTGTGGGGGTGAAAATTTAAGAATTTTAAACCTTATCTCCTATCAATATACCATTATACATGATTTCTTCTAAATTTATATGTGTGCGTATTGCATCGTTGCACCCTGGTTCGGCGGTAGTTCGATCCCTGTCAGATTCTTTAGATCCCATTGGACCTCTTTCCCCTTAATATAGTCTGATCCGATGGTGACTAACGCCCCATTCCAATACTAAATTACTAATACTAATAAACCTTAATAGATGCTAGAGTCCTTTAAACTTAGATTGTAGCGATTTCAATTTGTTAAAACTATGGATTGGATGATGTTTTATAAATTTAAGGAACAGTTCTCATAGCAAATATTGAAGGCGATGGCTTAAAAAATTCATTTTGGATTCATTGGTTAATCATGACTTGAAAACTAATGGCCAAGATAGCATATGATTATCCTGAAATACTATTGAAGGCGGTGGGAAGGCACTCTTAAACTGTGAATTTGTTTTGTTCAAAATAACAGGCTCCCTCTGTCACCATGCTTTTACGACCATTGACGTATAAGAATTGGGATAAACAAGCACAAGGTTGATCAAGATTGTCTTATAGCTATTAAGATAATTATGTTTTATCAAGAAAAAAAAGAGATTAGAGATAATTGCACCAGCAGGTGGGGGGAATATTCATAGATACAAGATCACCAATCTGGCAGACCACAGACAGAAGTGGCTTGAGCTACAGAATAAATTAATCAGCAAAGGGCAGATTTTGGGGAGCTGAATCCATAGACATGGAAAGCACTATAGACCAGACGAAGTTACAACATAAATTATTCCTCCCAATGATGATGATCACTTGGTGGACCCTTATATTTCGCAACCGAATTTGACGGCGTCAATTTACCATGTAATCTCTCAAAGGAGTTATCCAGGCTAATCAAATCAGATTAACTTAATTGCCGGGAAATTTTCAAGTTAAAAAAATTATACTCAACTAGTGACAGTGTTCAGTCAATTAATCACACACTACTAATCACCAGTTCATCAGCCTCTCTGGCCTGAATGACCAATTTTGTTAAAAGGATTTGCTCACATGGATCTGTACTTCTTTGCTGAACATTTGCTTCAATCTCCCCACGAGCACCAAGTAAGTAATAACTTGGAGTGGATTATCCTGCTATTTTAGTCACATGCTGTTTCTCATTTGGATCATCATTTTTTTCAAAAAATTTTTACGTTATCAATTACCTTTTTACTTTACATACATTAAATCGTTGTATTACATTTTTTTTATAAAAATTCTAAAAAATTAAAATTCAAACGGGTTCTAAATTACCTCTCTAGTCATTCATGTTTTCAAAACTGTTTACTTTTACGTTGATTAATGTCAATTACCAACTATCATCAGCAGTGGCCAACAACATGAGCGAAACATCAAAAGTCATTTGGCAAATTTGTGATAAGAGTTGCTGCAATTTAACATGAGTGAAACATCAACTCAAGTTTGTTTCAGGCAAAGATAACAGTCTAATACTCCATTCAAGGCCCCCTGGTTTACCCCTTTTCTTTAATTTATTGTAAAGAAGAAGTAGGTGTAAAATAGAATTTATCGTATAAAAAAAAAATTAATATTCCATTCAAGTTGGTTGCACTAGCGTACAAAGGAGAGGAGTCGAAAGTCAAAGACTTTTGAAGCTATTGACCTTGACCCGAAATACAAAGCTTAGGATCCCATGCGATCTCTTCGTCATTCGACCTTCCTCCTGTTGTAGAATTCGTTTTTCTGATTTCCTGCGCTAAATCCTTCGGGGGTTTTGGATAATGGGGGTGAGCTGTGAAGTGGGGGCCATGGGACCTTTGGAGATTGGCAGGATATGGTCAATGGTCAACGCTCCACTGCAGTGACGATCGTTCTGACCTTGTTTCTCTTTTTCCATTTTCTTTTCTTCTATTTCAGTCTTGACCTTGTCTCTCAGGACTCAAAAGAGTCAAACTTGTAAAATTGGATCCAAATTCCAGGCCAATTTCAGGCCGTGGATTGGTTCCGGGAATAATTCGTTGTCTATTTACAAATTCTAAACACTAGACGAAGTCTTTTTTGTCATCATCGGCTTAGCCTGCAACATTTGCTCCACCAACAAAGCCCACTGGACCATTATTTTGTTTCTCTGCTAAAATAACCAAAACGGTCAAATGAGACAGCATTTGATAGATAGAGAACAATTAAGAGTCCGTGCTGATGTGATTAACCATCCACGACTACGAGCAAGGAACAAAGATTTACAACTATTGTAACTACTTGTAATCAATTGGGTTTTCTAAAAAGGATAATATGATGGAATGAAGCCCCGTTTTTGAGTTTCAGCAATGCAATTTTTTACGCTTCCGGCGAGAATTTCTACTTTTAACCCGTCGACGGAGAGAGTCTTAAACAATCTACACCGCATACTTCAATAAACCAGTTTTGGTGGTTAATTTCATAGTCGAATGACAGAAGCGGCAATTTGATGGTTCGGAATCTAATTGGAGTATTGATTATCTTAATCGTTGTCCCAAGCCTGGATCATTATCATTAAGGCCCGTTTGAGCTTATGGTGGTTCATCAAAAAACACTGCAATTAGTAGAGTTGTTTATCAAAGTACTTATTAAGTGTTTAATCATATTGTTTGGGCCCATATTTGCACGAGTACTTTTTCAATTTGATAATACGTGAATTTGAATTTCTAAAACATATATTTATCTCTTCGTTTAGTTTAAAATTTATAATAGAATTGATAAAATTATTTTTTTTTTTTTTTTGAAACATAAAAGTTACTCTTAAAGCACAAATTTTAACCTTATGCCAAAAATGCTTTAACGGCCAAAAGATCTACTCGCAAATTTTAGGATTGATGCTCACCAAACACGTTAAAACTGCTTTTAGCTTCCAAAAATAAGACAACTCCAAATGGTGTCAAATAATACCAAACCCAAAAAAAAAAAGAAGAAAATAGAAGAAATTCGGATACCGAATTAACTATACATTTAAATTTGTTAATTGCTGCCACGTTCAGGATTCGATTTCTGGGCTTAGCAAGTACGAGCGGGAAGGGCGAGGGGACGAGTAGGAGGTAAAAGATTTAAAAAAAAGAAGAAGAAGAAAAGAATTGATGTCTGTGTAGTTAAGAGGTGACAAATTGACGAAGAAAAACCATGAGCTTCCATTTATGGCAGCAGTTAGCATCTTTAGCTACCACTTGAGGACGTTATTAGCGTAAATCATGATCGAGAGCATTAGTTGCAGCGTCGTCAACTTTACCAAGGTTTCTTCACATTTGAGCCTCGAGTTGTCCTCCTCATGATGATCCTGCAGGGAGAAGTACAAGGTCATCTAAGAGTACGACAGTAGTAAAATCGATCTTGAGTATATTCTTGGAAATGTAAACCTTTAATTGTTTAGAACCTCAAGAGCACCATTAGTGTCAATACTACCAAAACATGAGCTTTGGTGGAATCCCAGCTAGCACGTCAAAATTGAAGCATAAGGACAGTTTTAAGTGATGTTACTTCTGTCTTTAATTTAATCAAACATGATATTAGGGGTCCAAGTGTGATTAGATTTAAGAGATGAGAAACTTCTAATGAAGGGAAAAAAAAAAGGGTTATGTGATTAAGTCGCACTATTATTGAAAGCAATAAAAAAGGACATGCAGTAGCATCATAGAGGACGGGGGATTTTTATAATTGAATCAAATTAGAGGCTGTTTATGTGTTCTTGGTGGAGACATTTCATCCACGAGCAATTAACCAGCCTTGCTTTTGTGGGAATAGTCTCTGTGTCTTTTCCCACT